GAACTGTCTATTCATCAAAGAGTCCTCTTTTTATTTTTTATTAGAATGCAGCATATTAGAATGATTTCTAAAGGATCGTGTGACACTGAAGACTGGTGTAATGGCTGCTGAAAATTCAGCTTTGCCATCACAGCAATAAAGTAAATTTTACAATATGTTGAAATTGATTAAAAGTAATTTTAAATGAAAATGATATTTCACAATATTACTGTTTTTACTGTATTTTTGATCAAACAAATGTAGCATCAGTGAGCATAAAAGACTTCTTATAAAATCATTAGAAAAAATTACCGCCACCAAACTTCTGAACAGTAGTATGAAGGGAACTACTGAATTACTTCATGTAATATATATAATTTTAAGTTACAGGGCTTTTTCAGGTGTTGTCATACAGCCTTCAAGAACTTATAGTTAAACTGAATCTGACTTAAGATATTTATATATTTTATTGAAAATGTACTGACTTCTAAAATGTCAAATAGGATTGCTAATAATATGTGTTTGAGGCACAATTTCAAAGCTTCATTCTGAACATTATTTGAATAAATAAGCAAAAATTCACTGCTCCCCCATATACGCATGTTTTAAATTAAAAGCATCGAATAACAATTGTCTTATGTCTTTTTTATTTCTCTATGTTTTTCAACAGGAGTGAGTGTCTCAGCCAATCAGGACGATGAGACAGACATGGAGACATTTCAAATGGAAATTGATAAAGACACAAGAAAGTGCAAATTCAGAACTAACGAAGGGAATTACTGGACGCTTGTCACTCATGGAGGCATCCAGTCAACAGCCACGGAAATGTAAGATTTAACTTTACTTTTCAAACTTTCTGTTATGAAAAATCATTCTTTTCCACTTATATGAAATATGGCATGAGGGCAAGCAACAGTCCTATTATGTAACAATCAATAAATGCAACCATAACATCCATAACACAGTGGTAAAATAACAGAAATTGTAAATCCATTTAATTTACTCCTGTTCTCAGTAGGTGTATATGTTTTATTAACACTTATACATACAATCTCCCACTGTGTGCAGCGGTGCCAACACCATGTTTGACATAGTGTGGCTCAGTCGACGGGTGGCACTGCGAGCCAGCAATGGAAAATACGTATGCACTAAGAAAAATGGCCAGCTTGCTGCAGTCAGTGACTCTGTGGGTGAGTTCATACTTGATACTACCCACAAACCAAATCAAAACATCTAAATCAAATCCAATTTTATTTGAAAAAAGTATAATGATACAATATGTCACCCTGTTTTTTCCTCCAGGTGAGAACGAGCAGTTGATTCTGAAGCTGATCAATAGGCCCATTCTGATCCTGAGGGGAGAGAATGGTTATGTTTGCCACCACAAGAACTCTAATACACTGGACGCCAATCGTTCAGTCTATGATATATTTACACTGCAGTTCAATGACGGTGCATACCACATCAAAGGTGAGTTTTAATCCAGCCACATTGTCTATCATTTTAATCTGTACGTTCCGTAATAACTCCTAAAACAGATTCCTGGAAAGCAATTAACAGCTTTTAATTCCTGGAAATTTATTTAAGGTCAAAAATAGCTTCTGGCAATGAGTTCTGTTAAATTGTACGCAGTTGTCAGAAATGTCAAAAATAAAATAAATATATTTTGCCTTTTTTTTATTATTCGTACATATTTTATTTAACATTATTATATATACCAAATGTTAGATGATAAAAAGAGAGCTTTTTTAGGTATTGTAACAGTTATACAGCCTTCGCGAATTTCTAGAATTTGACTTGATTAAATGTCATTTTATAATGATAAAACTAGAATACAACATTATGAAATACAGCAAATTTTAGATGATGAAAAAATAGGAATATAGATATTAAAATAGGATTTTTCAGGCGATGTCACAGTTATACAACGATTGTGAGCTTGTAGTTAAATTGAACCTGACTTGATTAAGTCATTATTAAATGTAATCAGTGTCAGAAATGTCAAAATATTTTTTATTAATTAACCAGGTGGAACTGATTTTCAAGGGAACTGATTTACCTACATACGGCATTTTCTTATAACAATAAAAGTATAATACAAAATTATGAAATATACCAAATGTTACGAAATAGTGAAATTCAAAATTCAGCATTTTAAATATGCAACAAACATTTAAATATAATTTTTAGCACTTTTTTGTCAGAAATTAACCAGGACTCAAGTCATTTATGTTAAGAAGCTGACCAGCATTTTTTTCCTACAGGTGCTGGTGGAAAATTTTGGTATGTGTCCAACAGCGGCTTGGTGTGCACTGATGGAGACACACCTGAAGATTTCTGCTTTGAGTTCTTAGAGCATGGTCGGGTAGCTATAAGGGGCAAAAACGGCAAATATCTGCGTGGAGACCAAGGAGGCAATTTGAAAGCAGATGGAGAGATTGCAGACAACTCTTCCCTCTGGGAATACTGACACCATGTGGACATTTAAGGAACCACATTCACCTGTGTTAAACTCTTCGATTTACAAATATGAGAAAAATAAATTGGTACAATTAAGGTTTCATATTTCAACATCTGTTTTCCCATCAGTCAGCATTTGATGTAGAGTCAGTATTCAGAATTGCGTATGTATTATTAACCATTTCTGGTTTATAGTCAAAATGAGGCTGTATAAAAAGAATTCAAGCCTGAGAAGAACCTTATCATATAAGCTCACTTTTGCACACTGTTAGGAAAAATGTGTGAAGATATGATCTTACATAAAACTTGCAAAGCATGCTATTACTGTGGCAAATCACTTCTAACATCTCTGTTCGTTTTCAAATTATAAACGCACATTATACGACACATTATAATTCATTACTGCTGTTTGGTTTTTTTTACTTTAATGACCCATTATTGTCTTGTCTTTCGTGCTATTATTTATTATCATGTCAATGTTTGTCAGTTCCAGTGAAGCTTGTTTTATTCTCTGGGGTTACAGACTGCTGTGTTTGTAGTATATGGACATACATGGCATTTAAATATATTTAGGCCTGGCAAATGAACTCTGCTTGTTGTTTCTTTACGTTACTAGTAACTGACAGGGAAGCCAAGCAACCAAGAAATGAAAGGTACCACCAGGATTCAATTCATTTGATTCCCTATGTGATTTATTTGCTTTCTCTTTCTTAAGACCATCTGGAAAGGTTTTAGAATTATTACCAAAAAATCCTGTCTCTTAATTCTGGAGGAATTAATCTAATTTACTGTAACCTGGGTTTAGTTAAAACAAATGGATTGTTCTGCTCTGAATTTAACTGACTGTTGCTGTGTGCTTTACACAGTCCGTATTACTACCGACCGAGATGACCCAGCATTGTTTGTATCATAATTATATACTTGTACGCTATTGCTAAACAGTTTCAGAACAGAAGCCTGTTGAAATTGTCCTTGGTAACCAGTTTCCATTGAAATACTGTAACTGACATGTCCTTCATATAGGATTCCCACTTACAAAGTTTGCAACAGTGCACTCTATGTGTCTATATACTATGAATAAAACAGTTTTTGTAAAGATACAACCTAATCCTTCAAAAATCCCATTAAGTATTGTGAACAGTTATCAAAAAAACATGAAAAGGTCTCATGTGCCTTACAAACTCGTAACACTTATGAGCTAGACACAAAAACATATTGGCCAATTCACCAAAGAGCTTTAATAAACCACAGTACAATCTCTGCAGAAAAGAGATAGAGAAAAAATTACGTGTTCCATGAAATGAAAGTTGCTTTATTATTAATCTTATTATATTATTAATAAGATCGTAAAGTTACATATCCTCCTGAGACCCAGCTATGGAGTTTTTGCCTCTGTGGACATTATATTTTAGTGACTTTCTCTGAGACCTCACATGTCACAGTTTCAAGTCTGGATGTCCTGTACAGAGCACATTCAGGGCTTTCCAGAGATACCAAATGATTGGATGTTTCACCGTGGCCACTCCCTCTCCTTGGTTTTTAAAAATGGCTGACATTAATTTAGTGATCAAATTGTACACCCTTATGGAAATATGATAATATTTTGTAATTAAAATTTAAATCTGATTAATTTTCAAATTGTTTGTCATAAATCAACATCTCAGGAAAATGTTATGGGGTTTCAAATCAAAATATGACTTCCTGTTATGAAACAGGACATCATTTCATACATGTCCACTGTAGAGGACACCAGGACTGAAATCATGTTTATTATACATTTTGGGAGACAAAAGAATTTAATAGGAAAACAAATTATTTAGCATTCGTCTTATGAAATATTAGATATTATTATGAAAATCTGGCCAATTACTACTCCCATTATTACACTTCTTTTTTCAACATGCTGTCCCAACAGCACTTTAATATGCAAATTAGATGCAGTGTATAGATAACATTGTGCTTAATGGGAAAACCAGTTTATGGAATTTTTACACACATATTGCATAAAGCAAAATGGTATATCAAATCATTTTGTTATATATTTTATAACATAGTTGAGAACCATCCTTAAACAAAATTAGGTATAAAAAAAATCCTGAAACCTAAAAATTGATTGGTGATTTTAAAAAAAATTCCCATTGCTTTTGCCTTTTTATGTCTATTGTCCTGGTGCCCTCTACAGAGGACATAGCATAACATATGAATAAATTATAATTAAAAAAATATATTGTTTTACCATTTTTTTTCTTATGCTCTAAACAATGTAATGACATGAAAAAATACTAAATTCACAAAGCTTTTTATCTTTTGCCTTTTCATGTCTATTGTCCTGGTGCCCTCTACAGAGGACATAGCATAACATATGAATAAATTATAATTTAAAAAAAAATATTATTTTACCATTTTTTTTTCTTATGCTCTAAACAATGTAATGACATGAAAAAATGCTAAATTCACAAAGCTTTTTATTTCTGGTTCTCAGGAGGATATAATAATGCTAATGTATACACGTAGTTCCGTAGGATATTCTCGATCTGCGCATGCGTGGAAGTTACATCCTGTAGCCAATCATAACTCGCGCTCTAAATTTTAAACTTTAACCGGAAGAAAAGACAACAACAAGCAAGCCTCGCGAGTATCTCGGTCTTCTTTCTTATTGTTTTAATATTACTCTCCATATTCAAGAAAATGGATCGTAGTAGTGACGACCAGACTAAAATGTACTTTTATGAGAACAGACTTCAAACATTCGTTGGTTGGCCGTTTGAAGAGGCCTGCATTTGCACTCCAGAAAACGTGAGTAATCCCTTCGATCCGTCAACACAGAAAAGTTGTTTTGTAGGTGCTGAAGTTGAGTTTTTTTTCCTCTTTATACTGCTTTTTTTGGTTCTGTAGATGGCCAAAGCTGGATTTATTCACACCCCGTCGGACAATAGTCCAGATATAGCGCAGTGTTTCTTCTGTCTGAAAGAGCTGGAAGGATGGGAACCTGAGGATGACCCTGAGTGAGTACATGTCTGTTCAACTTTCCACTGTTGCGTTCTAGAGCTGAGAGAGGCTTTGTCTCTGTAATGCAATAAGACGCGGATTGCAAGTCAGGGTTATTTGATTTATGAAATGTCATAAGTCCTCTGGTTATTGTGCATTTTGTTCTGATGTGCTGTGGTGTTCTTGTATTATCAGGAAAGAGCATAAAACACATTCTCCTACCTGTGATTTTATCTTGCTGAAGAAGACTGTGGACAGTCTGACTGTGGAGGAGTTTCTGAAACTTCAGAAAGAGAGACAGAAGTTTATCATTGTAAGTATGAGCTTACTGACACAAAATGTCAAGCCACATTTATGTATATAGAACTTTATACAATACAAACTGTTTCAATGCAGCTTCACGTTCATAAACATTAAAAGTCCGTCTTGTAGAATTCATCAATTATAAAACAAATTCAGCTCTAAAGCAGCTCCTCGGAAGATAATTGTCATTCTTCAGCTCAGATTCATTTAGAGTTTTATAGAAAATTAAAACCATAAAATGACTTTTGTTGCTTGAAATAATCATAATAAACTTCATATAATAGTGCCTCAATGATACTAAAATAGCCCGTTTCAATTTTGCAAAGTTCATCAATCGAAACAAGTTAATTTTAGCTATAAGCAGCTCTGCAGAAGGCAATAGGGTCATTTATTTAGTTCAATGTTCATTCAATTCAGTGTTGCAAAGTGTAATTATCCAGCTTAATTCAGTTCAAATTTTGTTCTCATCTGGTAGTATCAATGCTGTTAAATCAATAATATTACTGAATATTAATTATCTTAAACCTCTACTCAGCAAGCCAAAAGTGACAGTGGCAAGGAATCAAAAGTCCATCAGGTGACGGTATTGGACGAGATTTAAAAATATATATACTTTGGCACAAATCATAATCAGGGTTATTTTGATTAATATCGTAATCACAATTATTTAACACTATTATGAGATGGCTACTTTTCTTTTACTTTTCTGTAAATAAGGTTGCAATGACGTCTGCATATTAGATACCAGTGAAATTTCACAATTCAGAATACTAGGCTAACTCCTATACATGTTAAAATAAATCATGTAAAAGTATTAACTTAACAGCCTACTTTAAAAGGTGACTTTACATGTCCGTGTTCTGTTCCGTCTCTGAGTGTGTGTGCACAGAAAGCCTCCTGAGGAACAGCACAAGTTCTCTTTCGCACTTTTAAAAACACAAATAAATGTAATCAACTTTTGCATTTTGCGAAAGTCACTTTACATGATTTTACTGATCTGCGCATGAAGTTTGGGCTTTTATGGAGGAATGAAAGCACACCGCTGGAAAGGGGGCGGAATAGGGCACGATAATAGTTTTATCTCGATTATTGTATTTTCATAATCATTGGAG